CAGCAGAGCGTTTTAGGAGGGCGCCTCTATGTTAGGGGCTAAGGATCTTGTAGGTTATAGCAGTCTACGCAATTCTTCTGGCCACTGTTCGTTTGAGACCCTTTCCAATGCAGGAGAGGAGTGCTATGGGCCTCCAGGATTGAGGCGAAGTCCTGTCCTTCTTCCCTACCTTGGGGATCATGGCTACTTCTGCCAGCTTCTATTGCGCAGGGAAGTAGTTAAGTTTAAGGCACCACTAGAAGATCTGTTGTATGAGTTCCCTAATTTAGGCCTAGCAGGCGCGGAGCAGTCGCACTGTAGAGCGGTCTGTGCCTGGGGAGGTGCTGGTGACCCCTATTGTGTTTCGCTTAGACTCCTCTAGTAAGATATGTGTACTCTACAGGAGAGGGGCCGCAGTTTCCTTATCTAGGTAGTGGCTGAGATTGTTATCTGCTGTGTATTAATTAAGGACTTCCTGTCTAAGTGCCTTAGCCTTCTCTAGGGGGTTAGATATTGTCCTGTTGTTAATGTTAAGCAGAGTGTCCTAGTTCTCTAGTGTGAGCTTATGCTAGGCAATAACCTTAAATAGGTCCTTGTTGTCCTTAGTAGTGTTAATAACATGCCTCTAGTATTGCCTTTTAGCCTGTCTAACTGTAGTCTTGAAGGCTTGTGTTTCTTCTAGCAGAGGTCTGCCTGAGCAGGTCTGTCAAGCGCGTTTGTGGGCTTAGTAGGCAGTCTTGCACTCCTTAGTCCACTAAGGCGCAGCACGTCCTTCCTTGCAATTAAGCTTGCCTGCTGTTTGTATAGAGTGCTGCACAGTCTCTGTCAGCAGTGCAACACAGTCGTCTAGTTGTGCCGCATCCTGTGCCGCACGCGGATCTGGGATGCTCTGGACGCCAATTTCCACTAGCCTAGTGAACTTTGGTAGGCTTGCCTCTGGAACTCTGTAGTGGTGCTGGTCTAGGTGCGGAGTACTAAGTGTGGAAGTAGAGACAGAGGTTACTATTGTCTTGTAGTCTGACCTGCAATGCATGCTAGCATTAACAGCAGACTGGGCAAATGGGATGTTAGAGAAAGTAAGGTCAAGGACATGGCCAGCGCAGTGTGTTGGCTGCCCCAGCACACCAATGTAGTCCATAGAGGCGTTAGCAGCCCACCTGGCGAGCTCTATGCCGCCGCTGGCTGCGGAAACAGAGGGCTCAAAGGATTCGTGTCTGACGTTAAAGTCCCCTCCTACAACGCAGTGTTGGGGGGGCGTAAGGTGCGTAACGTATTAGAGTACGTCAGGGGTAAGTGGCTGTCTGTAGCAGTTAAGTATCAAGACTCTGTTCACAACAGCCTATAGCAGGTCTAGGTGATTAAGGCTTTGTCTAGCCTAGAGCTTTAAGTAGTATCCTTTGTAGATGTAGGTTATTACCTAAGGGCAGGTTGCGCCTAGTGTGTTAGGAGCGTCCTAGGTGCTAATAGGTGTGAGGTGTCTAAAGCCTAGGTGGGTGGAGGTCCTTAAGTTGGCATAGGTGAAAGGCTCTTGGATGCATACAACATCCATGTCCTTCTGAAAGGCCGCTTCTAGGATTGTAATGTGGCAGGGTGAGCTCCTGCCAACGTTGGCCCAGCATATGCGGAGCTGGTCTCCCTGCTGGCCAGGCCATCGTTGCCTGTTGCGGGCGGAGGGTGTGTGTTGGTGTCCTAACATGTAGATAGTGACTAATTGCTTATGCTAATGTCCTCCCTCTTAGAGGTTAAGGGATTAGTGTAGATAGTTAGTTGTGGGAGCAGACTGTTGGCTGACATGTCCCTTATATTCAGGTTTGTACGGCCTGCAGCGGCCTGTCTTGGTCTCTTTTCTCTACTAGTGGTGGGCAAGGATGCTTGAGAGGCGCTGCTTGTTCCAGTTGGAGCTGCCCTGCTATCCTCTTCTAGTGCCCGCCCCCGTGGAGGAGGGTGGGGGGCCGCTATCTCCTGCGCGGCCTCTAGGGGGGTATCTTCATGCTGAGGCGTTGCCTGATTAAGGGTCTCCTCATGCTGCGGCGTTGCCTGGTTAAGCGTCTCTTCTACTGTCCTGTAGAGGTGCTGGTATGTTGCTCTGCCTACGCGACAGATAGCGTTTAGTTTAGTCTTGGTGGGCTTAATTATGTGTCCATGCACCTGGCGAGGGGCAGCAGGGCAGTTGGAGTAACTAGCCGGGTGTGGGCTATAGCAGTTGGTGCACTTGGCTTTATGAGGACAGTCATCCCTATAGAGCCCTTGGTGTCTATCTGTGTGATCTCCGCAGTGCACACAGCAGGCTAGCCAAGTACAGTGGGCAGCGTTGCAGTATTGTTGGCAGCCTGGGTTGTGTTGCTGTATAGTAGGGTGTTTGTGGATTTCTTTAGAGAGTTGGCTGGTGCCAAAGAGCTGGAACAAGCAGACTGGCTCCTTGTATAATATAATCTAGGTAGTCAAGCTATTCTGGTTGGCCCTATGTCAGGAGGTTCTGCAGCTAACTGGCTGCTTGCCTGTTTGCGAGCGGACCTCTTCCTTAACTAGCTAGGTGGTAGTAGGTAGTTTAGTGCTGTCTAGAGTCTAGAACAAGCTAGGTACTCCTTGTACAGCGTAGTTAATCTAGTGTTCTAGGACCCTGATTATATCTCTGCCTAGGGCTTTTACTACAAGCTCCTAGTTTTCTTAGGTTAGAAGTTGGTCTCTAATAGTTCTACTTGCTGGCGTAATTGCCTAGCTAGTGTTGATTGGCGAGGCAGTGGGGATGTCTTAGAGGGTGATTCCTCCTACACTCTTGCATACTGCCTGCCTTACTGCAAAGGGTGAGGGTTGATGCAATCGCGTTGCTGGATTAGACATAGCAATGAAGATCTGATTGTCTTCTTTTGGCTTAGCTGGTGGGCCAGGCCGGGACCTAGCAGGGAACAGGGGCCTGTCGCTACCCCTATTCTTTGGCGCTGGGATTTGGGGGTTTCTGGCTACGTCCGCCCAAGAGCGACGTCCTGAGTCTTGGCTCCCGGGGTTGCTGTGATTGGTGTCGCTGCTCCACCGGGAGCTTGGGGGGGAGTTGCTTGGGGAGATGGAGGTTAGAGCCTGGATGACTTTCTGCTGCAGCTCTGCGGCGATCCTGGCTTCCTGAGGGTCAGTATAGCCCTCTGCGTGTTGGTCTACAGCTGCGGCGAAGGCCTTGGTGATAGTGTTTCGAAGCTGGACAATTTGCTGAGTCTCAGTGATATAGCGTTGGACGGCATCGTAGACTCGGGGTTTGGGAGCGCCCCCACCGGGGTTCTGGCTGCTCAGCGGAGGTGCTTGGTGGTGCACGTCCCTCTGAAGCCGTCTTGAGGCGCGGGAATTGAGATGTTGAGGGGACTCGGGGTCTGGAGACCCCGTGTGATGGGAGGAGGGAGACTCTGCCATCCCCTTGAGTTCCTTGCGCGTCGCGCGGGGAGCTTAGGCGGACGCTAGAGGTACTCCCAAGGTGGCCGCAGTGAGCCGGATCGGTTGCTGGGATTTTTGTGGCTTCTGTGAAGGAAACCCAAAAATCAAAAGATTGGTGTTCGGTGTGTGGCTGGAGAGGTGAGAGGCTAGTTGCCTCAAAGGCCTTGAGTATAGTATCCTTCTTGAACGAGGCCTCCCAGGCAGCCATAAACATGGGATAGAAGTCTCTTTTGCTCATAGATGTGAGCCCTTGGCACCTCTCCATGAACGCAGCTACCTGGTGTGAGTAGGCTGATGAGAATGGCTTGAACATGACAGCGTCAAGCGGCTGGAGGGTGTGAGTTGAATGAGGGGGGTATACTGCAAGGAGGATTCTATTCCGATCGCAGTACTCAATAAAATCTATCGTGAGATGAGATCCATGGCCATCAAGGATAAGTAGTTGATAGGATTGGCCTGCCTTAGCCTTAGTCGAGGGATTAAATACCTGCTTTAGCCAGGCTAGGCCTATCTCGTTGTTCGTCCATCCTGAGGGTGAGGCAGCAAAGCGAGCTCGATGATCATCGGGATCAAAGGCTTGAAGCCACGAGTCCTGGATCGAGCCTGAGGCTGATTGATAGATAATAGCAGGATCAAGAGCAGATCCATCCGCGCATATACAGGCTAGCAGCGTTATCCACTCCCGATTGCCATCCTGGATGTGAGCCTTGATCTTCCCCTCCTCATATAGCCTCCTGCTGAACACCCGCTTTGAGCGAGTAAGTATTCCTAGCGTGCAGCCCTTCTCATCCATGTTGTACATATTGTAAGGCTCTATATCGTATTGGCTGAGCTTACTGCGTAGAAGCTCGAAATAGAGGCTATACTTTAACTGAGAGTCAGCCTGGTGGCGCTCGCGATCGATTCCAGTCGCCCAGTGTGAGATGAGATCAACTTGGTGTCGCTGGATATATCGATCAACCCAGTGCACGCCGAGCTCCTTTCTGGCTATTGATGAGGCAAAGCGTCGTATCATAGGTCGTGTAGGAGGTAGGCCTTGCTTTGTAAGGCGCTCGATATAGCGTAGGAGCTCCAGCTCCTGCTGGGGGTGGAGCGCTTGCTGGTTTTGAGCCTTCGTAGCTCTAGAGCTTGATACGCCTCGGTGGCGTTGAGATAGCGTTGAAGCTGGCACACCATACTTTCTAGCGATTTGCGCGTATACAAGTTTTTCGCCAGGTTCTAGCGCTTCGATAGCTGCAAGCGCAGCCTCAATTGGGCTCATATTGATAGAGATATCGCGTGTTGAAAGTGGGGTGCTGCATTGATTTTGGTCATCGGATCGATGGTTACGCCGTCCCGATGGTTACGCCGTCCGCCTCGGTAGGGATGTTTACATGGTCACTGACCAGTCTTGTCAATAAAAGCGGCCTGTGGTCAACACGAATCAAACACACCCATAACAAGCTGCGAGCGCGACAGTTCAATGAGGGATGTAGCATGTTCACGGCTGCACGTGCTGCCCACGATGGACAGCGTGCCGCGTCGGCGTCTACAGCCGAGGCGTGACCATCGGTCAGCCATCTGGCATCTTCAGGCATTGATCCTCTGTTGCTTTCTTGAACTTTTACCTAATCGTGAGTTCCGGAGTCTTGCACTGCTCCTGCTGTTGATGTATGGTTGCAGCTGTCATGACGAGGCGCTGCAGGACAAGGGCGCCACAGCCAAGGGTCCGAAGTAGCTTCGGCATTCGGCAAGCATCATTCTACAGCACCTTCCCATGTCTCATACCTCAACGCCCCACACACAAGAGTCGCGACTTCCTCCAGAGCGGCCATGACCACAGATTCAATGCGCTGATGTAGCGCTCAAACACACTCAACGACAACTCAATTGCTCAGAGGAGCCGGCTACTGCCGCCAAGGACCGCCATGATGCGCTCCCTCTTCACGCCCTCGCGCGTCTTCGTGGTGGTCATTACCTTCTCGCTGATCAGCTTCCTCTGGACTTTTGGCCTCCCTCACCAGCTCGCTGAACTCTCGGCACCAATCATTGAACACCCCGCAGACGGAGCCAAGCCTCACGACTCAATTGCGCCCGCGCCTGTCGTTCACACTTCGCACGCGACATTCCCCACAGTCAAGCCCACATCGACAGTGCACGACGACCGTCCAAAGGGGGACGACGACCACAGATGGGACGACAAGACGCGGAAGACAGGCCAAGCGGCCGAGCAGACGCCGCTGCCTCGTCCTACAGCGTCTGGTCCTGCTGGTCACGATGACGATAGGGGAAGGTGGGAGGACAAGGAGAAGTCGAAAGCCAGCGGGAAGACTTCAAGCACAGTGGTCGTCAGCGCGAGTCCCGGGCCCATCATGGAACTGATCTCGAGCGCCAACACCACAACAACCCCTACGCCTACATCCATCTCGCCGCCGTACCGCCACACAGCCGCGCCTGTGAAGGGCTTCTGCAAAGACGTCAAGAACGCACAGGACGTTATGGTCGTGGTCAAGACGTCGAAAGCTGAGGCCTACGATAAGCTTTCTGGGCACCTCCAGGGTCTCCTCTCCTGCGTGCCCAACTTCGCCATCTTCAGCGACCACGAGGGCGAAATTGACGGCATACCGATCCATGATGCGCTGCACGAGATCAACTCTGAGACAAGGCAGAACAACGGGGAGTTCCGCGAGTACATGATCATCCAGGCCGACCCCGAGTACAAACCAGACGCGAAGAAGACAAAGGATCTGGACAAGTGGAAGGTACTGCCTATGGTATACAAGGCATACCAGATGAACCCACACGCCAAATTCTACGCTTTTATCGAAGCAGACACAGGCCTGAGCTGGACCAACTTGCTGCAGTGGGTGGCCAGGCTAGACTACCGGATTCCGTACTACAGTGGCGCGCAAACCTTCATCAACAAAGTACAGTTCGCCCAGCGCGGCCCCGGCATACTACTTTCGCAGGGTGCCCTACGGCGCTACGCAAAATCATACGAGGAGCGGTGGTCGACCGACTGGCAGAAGCGCATTGGCAAGGAGTGCTGCGGAGACTACGTCCTTGCAACGGCTCTCAATGACGCGCACGTCGAGCTGTATACATCGTGGCCACTCATGCAGGGCGAACAACCGAATACGCTTGATTACACACCGAAGCAGTGGTGCTCACCTGCCGTGACATGGCACCACATGGATAATAAGTCACTAAGCGAGAGCTGGGACCTGCAGAAGAAGTGGACCGCCAAACACGGCTGGGAGAAGCCATACTTACACAAGGATGCATTCGAAGAGTATGTACTACCACACATAACATCACGGCTGGAGAATTGGGACAACCTGGGCTCGGACACCAGGGTCATCGCCGAAGCCGGCCGTCAGAAGGAGCTCAAGGATGGAGTACGCGATGCAAACGCCGCGAAAGAGAAGCCCAGGGAAGCAGCAGGCTCATTGTTCCCCAAGCGCGAAGAAAAGAAGGGCATCGAAACCGACACCAAAAAGGACGACAAGAAAAACGAAAAAATAGAAGAAGAGGCCAAAGAGACAATCGACTGGACCGTCATCGGCACCATGGTCAAGGACGGCGCCGACAGTTCCGAGGCCTGCGCAGCGCTCTGTCTAGAAATTGAGGACTGTCTGCAGTGGCGGTACACTAACAAAGGCGATGGCGAATGCCATCTTAGCAAGGTCGTTAAGCTAGGCAGGAAGACAGAGAACCAGGGCAAGAGCCATATCTGGACGAGTGGCTGGATTGTGGATAGGATCAGGGGACTGACAAAAGGTTGGGAGTGCAAGGAGGTCAAATGGAAATTCTACCAATAGCCGTTTGCAAGGTTGAGGGCGGAGACATACAAGACGCCATGGAGAAGGTTGGCGCACACGTTAGCCTACTATTGTCACGTTATGTCATTTAGGTGATTTTGTCGGTCTGTATACCCTTTCGATGTAAATTCTTTAATTCAAGCAAAAACATTTCCGCAATATCTTGGGGGGCCCCGAACACTCGTTGTTCATGCTGAGTGCCATTCTCTATCGTCTTGATCTCTGGTCGTGTGTCAGTACAAGTCATCACTGCATGTAAGCGCGTAGTACACATGAGCTGATTCCTCCAAGCCTTTCGCCAGTCGTTGTTCCCTTGGGTCGTTCTTCTTGTTTCTGCGTTGAAAGCTTCTCTCGAGACGCTCGCGGGAAGACTGAAAGAAGGGTAATAGCTGGATCTGGTCAAGTGGGGGGTAAATGGTGATTGAGATCAAGCGGACAACTTAAGAGAGGGGGTGCGTGGAGGTGCATGTGAAAGGTTATCAGTGAATTGAGGAATCAAGGAGGCGGTATACGGGTATGGCGCTATGGAGCATATTGCGTAAGTAAGTGCATATTTTTCCTAATGGGTCTTTGGTGTGCGGTGTACTGCATACCTTTTCTTTCACATGTTAGAAACGCATCAATTATTCTAGCCGTGCTCGAGCCGTGCTGACGTACCAATTATCTTCCTGCACTACGACGATGAGGCGTTATATCTACTAGTGCTGTTGTTATAGGCTCTAAGCGTTAAGGGAGAATAAAGACAGTGCAGCAGGGCAACTAAGAGTAGACTAGCATTATCCAAGGCATCTGCGCAAAGGGCTGGTCTATCCTACCCTTCATTATCCTCTCTAGTAAGCACCACCTCTCAGCCTAGTACAAGGAGCCTAGTATACCTAACAACTAGGTTACTAGTGTCTCTAATAACAGCTAGACTAATAATAAGCTTAGAGTTAAGTAGTTAAAGCACTTTAATAAGTATATAAAGGCGCGCACTATTAGCAGCTACTAACTACTTATTCTAGACGGCCATAAGAGCTATAACTTAGTTGAATTCCACTAGTGCTGTGAGGAGCACAAGATTATCACTCTGTGTATGCCCCCACACTTATCCCATCTGCTACAGCCGCTTGACGTGGGTTGTTTTTCCCTATTAAAGAAGGCATATGGCCGCCAAGCCAAGCAGCTGATGCGGAGCAAGATTACTTACATTACTAAACTTGAGTTCTTGCTATGCTTTTGTCAGATAAGAGCGAGCGGCGAGAGGTCGGATCTGCGCAATCGAGCAGGGACCTGTCGCGCAGCCAATCAGCAGTTGCCAGGTCGATTAAGCGAGACCTGGCAACTCCTGATTGGCCCGCACACAGGCGGCCGCGAACAGCGCTAATTCCCCCCCCCACTTCAATCCTGTAGCAATTAGCACGACGCCGCGAAAAACACGATCGCCACGATCATCAATAAATCATCATACCACCTAAGATCTCGTTAAGCACATACTCTGGCTCACAGTACGAGAATCTGACAGCTTTAAAGCTGCTTTTAATGCTTCAATTACTAAGAGCAATATCTAGGGAGGATTTAGAGTTGCTAGCCTAGTCCTGTTTAACCTAGAGGCTGTGATATTAAAGCTTGAAGTACAGCTACGCACGCTAACGCCACCTATTATAGACAACAGTGTAACGACGCAGGCAAGAAGAGAGATATCCGGAATAGGTGTGAATCCGCTACAAGGCATATGGGAGTGCTGGGATGATAAGAACACCAGGATATATTCTCTACACCTATAGGTCTTGTACAAAAGGATATAGAAAAACTACTCTATAATGCTACAGTTCCTTACTCCTTATATATAAGGGTTTAGTAGTAGTTTAGTGTAAGCTTATGCTATGTGACAAGGGCCATAGTTATAAGTTGCTAGAACTATATCCTAGTGGTATTAGGTCACTATTTGTAGAGTGTTATTACACTACCCCCCTCCTTGTAGATAGATAGTCCTATATCTGTGACTTAGGTTTGAAACAGAACGTATACAGAGGTAGCAAGTAAAAAAGAATTAGCAGTAGGTAACATAAACCTACTTTTACTTTGTATTATTATATATTCTGTTATTGTGGTGACACAACTAAGTATACTAACAGAGAGGTTCTTTAAGTTTCTATTTTATCTTAAGCAAACAGAACACCTCTGCGTACGTATATTAGACTAACTTAGCTATATATCTAACCTTTAACAAGTTGTAACACATTATGCTAATCCCTGTACTACCTAGGGCGCTTCTAGAGGCTTACAGAGTTATCTGTATTTATTTAGTCTAGGCTGCTGCTTGCAGCTAATTTATTAACTTTAAGTTTTTGTTAATAAGCTCTAAGAAGTGTGCGTACTGCACTTTTTAAAATAAGAAGTATGTTCTAGTATAAAATCTAATACTAGCCATTGCCTAGTTATATATTAATAGATTCTAGCTTCCTACTTATGTGGAAAGCGAATTCTCCGTCTTTTGGCAGGCCCTTAGACAGTACGAGGTCGCGCTCGGCAGCGACGTGATTCATGACCGTCACATCACGGAGGCTAGGGTCTGGGCTGCCGCCTTCGCGCTGGCGAGCTGTGTGCAGGTAGCGACTGCCCAGCTCAAGAGCGTGTCGGTGGTGGACGTGCTACTAGCCAACTACTATTAGGTAGCGGAGGAGAATTGGGTCCTTTAGGTTTAGATGGCTAATCTAGCGGCGGCTGTTAAGAAGGTGGCGGGAGCTTAGGTAGAGCTAACAAAGGCTTTGCAGGGCCTTGTGGAAGGAGGGAGTTAAGGTAGAAAAGGATAATAAGGTAGACAGGGCAGTTGTCTAAGTGGTGGAAGGGGGAATAGATATAATAGTAGTTTAGAAGGAGTAGTTGGGGCAGAGTTAGACAGCGAGCTGTCTAACGTGCCTTATAAATTTTTAGGTAACAAGATGAACCTGCTGTGAGGCCTAAGGTGGGGTCTGAAACTAGCTAGTTTGTACCTATAGATAGCGTTATAACAAACTGCGTTTGTTCTCCCTTACTTTGTCATCCTTTAGCTACAACATATCTTCTATTCCTTTCTCCCATGTGTTAATCCATTTGTCTAGACCTCTTAGAGGTCCTAGCTAATTCAGGTATTGTTCGTAGAACGCTCTTAACTTGTAGGGGGTGCCTATAAAGTTAGAGGCGTTATACTAAGTAGGGTCCTAATTGTGGCCTACCTACTTAACCTAATACTTCAGGGTTGCGCGATAGAGCTTGCTAGCTAGGATTTCTTCCACTTCCTACTCTTTAACGCCTTAGATAGGGATACCTAAGGGTTTTAGCGCTTCTTATCCTAGGAGTAGGTCCTAGGGGTCTTTACATAACACATTTAGGGCAAACACATTATAGATGCAAGATCCCTTAGGTAAGTTAAGTTAGTATAAATGTCCTACCTATTCTAGTACTTAAAATAGACCTTCCTATAGGTTAGATAGCTTTCTACTAGGGCGCAGGTTTAACAGGTTCTTAGTGCTTAGATAGACTATATTACTAACCTCCTAATTAACTAGTTAATAATGCTTATTAACTGCAGTCTGTATTTAGAGTTAAGCCTGTTCTATATTCTTCTTAGCTGTGGCCTAGGCGTTATGCATGCAAGTGGCTAGGGCTAAGGCATCCTTATAGTTTATAGCTTCTAGTCCTTTTCCTTTTACTAGTTAGTTATTCTAGAACTAGCTCTGCTTTAGTTCAGAACTAAAAAGGACCTAATATAGGGCTATACTAATTGCTAAGTAGGGTAGAGTTATTTAGGCTTAGTTAATTATAGGTAGTAGATTACTCTAGTTATCCTAGTAGTAGGATATAAATAGGCGCAATCTCTAGTTAATATACTTGTTTATAATTTTAGTTTAACTATCTATTTCCTTATAATAGGCAGTTAATAGTTTAACCTTTACACTAATAATATTATAGAAGGCAGACTAGAAAGTAGACATAAATTGTAGACCACAGTCTAACATAATAGACTCTAGGGTATAGCTAAATTAGTACACCTATTAGATAAATAGGTTAGCTATACCTTAGGCGTTTATGTTCTTATAATATAGTATTATAATTGCTTATTTAGACAGGTAGTTAATAATTACTATAATCTAGTTGTAACTAGCTTTATCTAGTAGAAAATCCTTAAAGTCTATATAAAGATATTACATAGGTTAGTCTAGGATAGGCAAGAGGTAGAGGTAACCTTAGAGTTAGGTCTGCTTTAGATGTCCTCTTTAGTATAGAATGCAGTTACAAATATAATATTAATAAGAAGTTTCTATACCTTTCTAGTAATATTTCTTAGATAATAACTAATAAGTCTTCTTTACACTTAGATATGCAGATAATACTTAGTTGTAGACCTCCTAGATTAACTGTGTACAGAGGGTAGAGTCTGCCTAAACACAGAGACAATCCTTGTAGAGCAATAGTCTATTACTAATGTAATACTAGTTAGGCAAACTTTTGTATTCTAGACTAAAACTAGTCTAGTTGTCCTGTAGTAACGCTTTAATTAATTCTAACAAGTCTAGGTCTATATAGCGCTTGCTAGTACTAAGCATGTAGATTTAGGCGTTAGGTTGTTAATCTCCTATGTATTTCTAGGCGAGATTAGAGTTAATACAAGTGTTAAGTTAATTTAGGCCTAGGAAAACACGTGAACAATTGTCTTGCTAGGCAACCTGTAAGTTACTTAGATCTTATTCCCTACAGCTTAAGATGTCTGCTCTAGCGTTGCTTGCACCTAGAGTATACTTAATTCAGAAGTTAAACAGGGCTATAGTCTCTGCCTAATAAACTTGTCTTGCACTAAGTACTTTAGTTGTTATAAAGTACTCTAGTGCTCTATAGTTAGAGAACACTTAGACGCAAGATTAGGCACTTGTTAGTTCCACTCTCTACTTACAAAAAGCTTAGTATATAGCAAACAACTCCTTATTGTGTATCTCCTAGTTTAGCTCTAAACTAGATAAGACTTAGCTATAGAACGCAACTAGGTACTATTTTCTGTTAGGGTATTTTTATAATAGTACTCCTACAACTACACTATTAGAGGTATTAGTCTCTAGTTTTGTATTATACTTAGGGTTAAAATAGCATAGGGTTAGAATTAATAGTAAGGCTACTTTAAGGTGCTTAAAAGTAATATCACACTCTATA